TCTACAGGGTGTTGCTAGTATTAAAATCCTCACAATGTCAGTATTTTAATGCAGATAATTTATCTAAGTTAAACTCTGGTAGTGAGATTTCTAATGAAGCCAAGCTGTCTGTGTGCACGTGTGTGCACATGCAAATTCTGCAGACGCCCTTTCATGCATTACATTTGCCATTTGCTAATTTATTCCTTTGTCATCTTTGAATATGCCTGTTCATTCTGAAGATCAAAACCGAGAGCGAGTACTTGTATCAGTTTTGTGCTTTATTTTACTCTCCAGCTTTTATAATTTAATTTACAGATTACATTGCTGTTACACTGCCAAGACAAACAAGATACAACAACAAACGTCACTGACAGCTGTTTTTGTGAGGGCAAAACCAGTGGTTAGCTGAAGATCCTGAACTTGATTTTTAATGAACAATTCAGACCACATAAAGAAGATATTAAATGGTCAGAATTGATGGGTAGATTATTATTAGATTTGAGGTGTATGTTTCACTGAATTTTAGTGAACTCCTTTTCAGGATAAACCCACATAGCACATACTAATGCAAGAACTAGCTGATTTATGTCATTCCAGTAAATCATTGCTATCTTGTAGATCTGTAGGACAGCTACAGTCTTTGCTGATAGGCATTAACACGTGCAGTAATGAAGATAGCTAGTCAGCTCCTTAGCTACGAGGAGAGCTGTGATTGTCCTGTGATCATGAACTCTGAAGGTGAGTTTTAGGCTGTTCTGAAACACCCAGTGGTGCCAGTACTGGGACGAGGGTTTTACAGATTTTATAAACTGTGAACTTTACTGCAAGAGGTGTGAGTGGTCAGATCATGATTGCCACCTTTTGCTTTAGATGTTGAAGTCAGTTAAATGAAGCAAGCAGGATCTGGCCTTAAATTGTTGTGTTTAAGAATCACACTGTGCTAGAAATTCGAAGCAAGGCTGCAAAACTGTCACAGATAATAATGCAGAGAAATAGCTTGGGGGGGAAAAAAAGTGGGGTACCAGCATTTTTGTGCAGCAGTTGCAAATATCCTGACACATGTCATATTTTAGGGTAGTTCAGAGAACTGGATGCCTCCTTGTTCTGCTGTAGGAAGGAGATGGAGAATGTCACGAAGTAATGTGTCCTCATCCCTCCCAGTGTCACGCTCATGTATGCTCACAACATTCATTTCAATTGTTTTAAGTACTGTGCTTGAGTGTAGTATTTGTGTTAACTTTAACAGGACTAAATGTTTTATGGTTATAAAAAAGACTATATTTATTTAAAGCATTGCTTTTATTTTGAAAAGCTACTTTTAAAATTAATTTGATTAACAAATATGCTAATTTTCTGAACTTATCAAAAAGTAATTGCTGAGAGTTTGATCATTGGATAATCTTACATAGCTATTGTGTTAAGTTATTTTTGACTTCTTAGTAACACTATTATGTTCGTGTTGCACATTACTGAGAGTAAAGCTATGAAACAACTTTGATCCATGTTTTTATAGTGACTTAACACAGAAGGTAACCAGTGAGACTTGGATAAGGATGGGTTAGAGTGGGTAAGTTGCTTGAGAAAAGATCTTGCTCTAATAGGAACTGTATTATTGCAAAGTTTATCACTCAGATGCCTTAAATACCAGTTCAGTAAAACCTGCCATACTTACTCAGATCCAGCCCTAAATCGTCTGTTTGTCTCTCCATTAGATGATGATTATGTATTCAGCCTTCTTTGTGATCTGGAGACGGGTGTCTTTTGCGTTTTAGGCAAGGCATAAAGACCAGACCAATGGTCTAAATGTACACGTTCACATTTTGCCCGCCTGGGTTACCTTCTTGATTTCTCCATGGGTTGTATTTATATGATAAACAGCATTTGGCCTTCAGCATTGCCATGATTTAGGCCCAGGCAGCAACAAAGAAGCGCGGGGCTGCTCACTCGCTCCTCCCTGGGATGGGGAGAAACTAGAAAAGCTCAGGGGGCGAGACAAGGAGGGGGAGATCACTCAGCAATTATGGTCACGGGCAAAACAAATTCGACTTGGGCGGGAGAAGGTCACCAATGAGAAACAAAACCAGATCTCTAAAATACCTTCCCCTACCCTTTCCCTTCTTCCCAGGCGCAAATTACTCCAGAAATGGGGATGGGGTTGTGGTCAGTTTGTCACACGTTGCTTTCTGCTGCTCCTTCCTCCTCAGGGGGGAAGATTTCTCACACTCCCTCCCTGCTCCAGGGTGGGGTCCCTCCAGTGGAGAGTCCTCCACGACCTCCTCCTCCGACGTGTCCCCCGACCTCGGTGTAGCCCCTCAGGAGCGGGCGGCTCCGGCTCCAGCTCCGGCGGCTCCGGCCCGGCCGCGGCCCCGGGCCAGGGCTGCGGGCCCCGCCAGGGCTGCAGGCCGCGCTGCTCCCCCGCTGACACCGCTGCCTGCAGGGGGGTTGCAGCCGACATCTTGTCCCCGCCTGCCTCACTCGGCCGGGTGTCCGCATAGGTATTTGCTCTCACATCCCACTTCCGCGCTGCCCTGCTGGTCCTTCTTTTCCCCCTTCACCATGTTAACTGCAGGGTGCATCCCCCTGCCCTGGGGCGGCCCTGCCCTGGGGCCCTGCCCTGAGGCGGCCCTGCCCTGGGGCCCTGCCCTGGGGACCTGCCCTGGGGCGGCCCTGCCCTGGGAACCTGCCCTGGGGACCTGCCCCGAGGCGGCAGGGCTCCTTCCAGCAGGTTCCCCCAGGAGCCTGCAGGCCCGTCTCGCTGCCAAAGCCCTGCCGCACCAACCAACACAAGTATGTTCAGTCATGGAGGATGGGAAGTGTTATCCTAGCACCAGCAGCTGTGAAGGATCAGCCTTTGGAAAGCATCTCCCTGAAGGGAGCGGTTGCGTCAGGGAGGGTGAGTGGCCGCCTCCGGGTGCTTCATTTAAACCTAGAGAGAGCTTGGTTTTCTCAATTGAGAAGGCTATCTTGATGTCTGTGTCTGACCCCTACCAAACTGTGCCTTTGGTCAAGTAGGGCAGAGGGGCAGCCCCTCAAAGGTGTTAAGTTCCTGCAGATTTCACAAGGGAAGATGGAGCGGGTGGCTCTGAGAGGTGCCGGCAGCACCTTCCCTGGGGTACGAGGCTGCAGTGTCACCTCTCCCTGTGTGTGAGTCTCTTGGGCCCAGGAGAGAAAGGTGGATGCAGAGGTTTCACTTGGATTTACTTGTGTAAATGAAGGAATCAAGCCATGAGGTGCAGGAAGAAGCTGAAATAGTCCAGCTGTTTGCAGACCTGAGTCATCTTAAATCAGCAGTA